CACATACCTTCCATTGAAATATTACCAATTATGATTTTCGAGCAGGGTCTCCGATGCGTTTTGAATTGTTGTAAGATAAAGATTGAAACACAAGTATTCTCGTTATCGGAGTACCATCATCTCTTCGTGGTGGTCTTTTAACGCGTATTTAGCACAAAAAGTAAAATACGGTAGGCATTTAAAACAATCTGTAGAATATTTCAACATAATAGTATTTACCTGAGGATTATCACGCAATGAAATGTCAAGAAAGATATGAAGATTATCAGTTTAATAGGATGAAAATAAAACAAAACTATATTTATCTTTGTGGTTAGGTGTTGATTCACTATGCCATGGTTAAGGACATCGAGTTCTCCGACGCTTTCAAACGATGGACATCCACGAATAACCCATTCTTCATTTTACGTTAGACTGTTCTGGACAATGTGCATCCGCACCCTAATAAACGATTTAAGTATGACCATAAAAATAAACAACTTACCTTTAAATTAGACTGCATGATTGTCTCGTCAGCGAACTTTTGATCCCAAAATTTCATGTTATAATACTGCTTAGGCTAAATTGACAATGAATAGTTTTGAAAAGATAGAATAAAATTATGGTTTGATTTCAATTCGCACAATACGTGTTTATGGAACAACTTCCTGAAAGACAAAATATATATGAAACTTCCAAGAGCACAAATCCAAAATAGCCTTAACAGAACGGTCAAAACTATAATACTAAAGGTTAATTTAACCTGAAAAAGGGGGGAGGGGTCACAACCTTTGCTTAAGCGCAAGAACATAATTTTATGAACTAAAAATCTGTTAATTTGAATCATGCCACTACCGAAGTAATGCATGGTTCCTGGGCGGACGGATAGTCAACCAGTAGAAATACCGAAACGAATTTTCAAAAATAATATCTTTCTATTTGGCTATTACTGATACTGCGTGAAGGTATGAAACATATAAAAATGTGAAATGAATCCCTGATGTAAAATGGACCAATACGCCATAGTACACAGAGACTGAACGAATCCCTGATGTAAAATGGATTAATACGTCATAGTACACAGAGACTGAACGAATCCCTGATGTAAAATGGATCAATACGCCATAGTCCTACACAGAGACTGAACGAATCACTGATGTAAAATGGATCAATACGCCATAGTACACAGAGACTGCTGAATGAATCCCTGATGAAAAATGGACGAATCATTGGTGTAAAATAAATTAATCCCTTATGTAAAATGGATCAAAGTACACGAAACGCGAGATTCCTGACTATGACCACGTAAAACATTATTTAAGTTTGACGAAGGAGATTTGTGTTATATTTACTATATCTAAACAGATATCTTCAAAAAATCTCTACCACTTCTTTTGGTGATTATTCAATACCTTTAATGACAGGTTACGTAATATTGGGTTTTAATATGAAGACGGTATGCACATATAAAGCACAACCAAATACGTACCGTCGCATACCACCCGTTAGAAATTGAACCCTGTGTCAAGTTTTAAGGAGATAATGATCGAAGTATTGATATGTTTATAGGTAAAAATCAAATGGTACCGTGCAACCGGTATTGTAACAAATATTTTAAACGGAATACTTGAAAACAAATGGAATTTGAAAAATTTATTTCTTGTATAACTTTCTACCATTATATATGTTCCGTTGTGTATTATTTCTAATCTCTCTGCAATATGCTTTCGGAACGGACAATTATATTTCGAATTTTCTAAATCTAAATTGTTAGGAATTTGTATATGTTTTTTTCTTTAATAATCAACTATACATATCAGTGTTGTTACATGCTAAACATTTGTATTCATTCCTCTTACAAGTTTTTCATCAGAGCAAAAAAAAAAATTACATGCATATATTACGAAACAGTTAAAAGTAATACTTTTGTTTTTGAGATATAATCTTGCAATGTCCGTGGGCATAGAGCAAGTACAACTAAGAACTTAAGAACTTCGGCTTATCAGTGAATATTTAGTCGCTGAACTTGATTTATAGACAGAAATCCAAAGTTATGAAATCATTGTATTAATCATGTTAATGCAAGATGATATTGCAGTTGGATAATCTTTACACCAACCCACGTTCTTCTTGTTACTCATTCGATTTGCGGTTGTGGCAGAAAATATTTCTTTTTTGGTATTATAGAAGTAAAAAAAAAACAACGTGCGATTGAACTTCCCATTTGTATACTAAGTGAACGACCATTTAACTTCAAGGGGGTTATGGTTTTTTCCTAAAAAATATTCTGATCCCCAATTTGATGAAAAAAAATATTGTGGTCAAGCAGATGACAAAAAAAAATATAAAGCAAACACATAATTTTGCCGTTTCACAATCTAAAGAACTATTGGTAATTAATGTACATTGTTCGCCATTTGTGTGTTTATTTCACTGATTGTTGTTTGGTTGTACCTTGATTTATAGTTTAAAGTCTAATTTTGGACGTTGCAAAAAGATGAAATCTGTGTGAAGCATGCAGTAGCTCATTAAGTTCATCTATTTCATATATATAATTTCAAGTTCTTCGGAAAACTTCAATCTAAATATTTCCACAAATGAAATGTTCGTAAAGGTGCAGATACGTTCGAGTAGACAAAAAGACTCAACGTTTTGCAGCACACGATTTCAACGAATTCACAAAGTTGTAAAGCGAAGGGATGTTACATTTACAGGTTATTTTCACTTTCAGCATTCAAATTATTGTTCATCAAAGGCCATCATACCGAAACGGTGATCCTTTAGTGGGAAAAAGAATACTGACTTTATATACGATGAGCTTATAAATATAATGCTGAAATCAAACTAAAACAAATCGATTTTTTAAGAAAATTTACGGAGGTGATCACTTTTGGCAATTGCTATAAAAGCTCAAACAGGCGACAGAGCAACAGCCGTTAAATTGATCAAGTTACAAAATTCCTAAATTAACTATTAAACGTTTTGGAAATACTACAATATTACTACATACATAAATATTCATAAGGATACGACAAAACTGGGTAATATCAGTCTTTGTAGTCTTTTGGTTCGACAGTATTGAATTTGTGAGATACTAATTATCTAAATTGGCAGACTAGGAACAGGTGAATAAACTAGAATTTGTACTATTTCCAAGTCAAACCATTTCACAGGTACATCATCATTTTTTAATAAAGCATTTCAGATATGAAAATAAAGGCTAAAAGGTTGGTGACATTGATAGGAGCTATTTACATATGTTTACTTTTCTGGTTCTATCAACTAGTATCGTTACATATGTCAATGTGTGGAGTTAGCTTTGTTTTTTTTGCATACTCAAAGAAAACCTGTCAATGCACATCTAAGAGCTTATTCAGATAAGGTGAACATATCAATCCGTAGCGTAATATTTAGGATACAGTAAAGTTGGTTTAACATTTGAAACCAATGTCACGATCTGCAAATAAACTCATCATAGATACCAGGATTGAAATTTTGTATTTGCCGAGACGCGTGTTTCGTCTACAAAAGACTCATCAGTGATGCTCGAATTAAAAAAGTTAAAAAGGCCAAATAAAGTACGAAGTTGAAGAGCATTGAGGACCAAAAATTCCTAAAAGTGTTCCAATTGTTTTCGTGATTCAGTAAATACTTGTGCCAAGAATAGGATAGTTGAAACCAATATGCATACTGTTTATTGAAGGGGTTTTGTATGAAAGCACAAACAAATGAAAATATAAACTTCGTTCGTCCGAAGCGCGTTTCTGGTTTAACCTTCATCAAAAATGCTCAAGCCAAAACATTAGAAAGCCAAGGAGATATAAATACCCTATTTTTAAAAATATTGTTCAAGGACATTGAATTATGTTGTAGTATGTATTTTTTTAAAAGAGAAACCAATGTATTCTCCATAGAGTGCAGTTAGTCTGATACCTCAGCAATCATCAGACCTTATCCACATGAAATCAAAAGTTAACAATTTGTGGTATATCAAGTTTAAAAACCGATATCACCAACTTATCAAATTGAAAAAAAAAATAATTAAAAAACAGCCATTTCAAAAAGATATGTTGGTGTACTTGTAGAATGTTTTAAATTATCATCAAGTGGTACTACACAAAACCCAAATATAATAAAAAAAACTTTTGATCTGTGTATGTTTTAGTTAAAGTACATATGTTGATCATGTTGGTAATATCAAATGTTAAATAAACCTTTTCATAGTACAACTTACATTATAATAGATGAAAGAATTGAAGGAAAAAATATATTTGCTTGTTTGTAGTGAACAAATACTCAATTTGAAGGCCGAAAGACTATGAAGTGTGTTTCACCGACTGCATTACGTGTTTGTATTTATCAAGCACCCAAATTAAATACATGTAGTAAATAATGCATTGATTTTTTTTACTTATTTTTTGAATTGCGTCTGTTACGTGTTTCCCCGATGATGTCAGACAACGTTTGATATTACTTTGGGGTTACTACATAAATGATATTTAAGTTTTTTGTGGGTAATAAAATGAATACAGTTATTGTTCTATAAATCCAAGATTCCTACTTCTATCTATAAATCACGATCAGTGCTGAAGTGCATTTGCCTATGCAATACGCAACTTGTAGTTTTCCGGGTATATAAATCATTTTATTTTTTGCATAAAAATCATTGATGACATCGTTCTATGACTGTTGGCTAAAAATTTAAAACAAAATAAAAAAAAGTTACCATAAACTTCAAAGGGAAATTAAGTTTAAGATTTAAATCTGAGAAAAACAAACCTACAATATGAATTTTAATGTAAACAAGTAGAACTTCTTACATGCATATCTTCAGCCATGTCATTTTAAAACAAATTTATTGATTCCCACACAAAGGAGTAGTTTGTGATACAATCAAGTATAAATACCCTTTAGGGTAAATGTTAACATGAGACAATTGTTTTTAAAGAATAGCTTGTTATCAAATTGGTTCATTCTCAATGCATATGTATTAATGTTCACACCTCTTGTATAAATCATACCTAAATTGTGTCGTTTCTCGTTGACAATTGACAGGTAAATACACACACAGAATTCATTACTGTTCGTGCTTCCACATTCCGACAGCTATCTGACACTCTGTATACAACGATTACTCTACCAAACTAGGAGAATGAAAATTTAATATGATTTGAACAAGATTTGAAGAGTTAGCTTTAAAATTGTAATAGAGTTCATATTTCATCGATTATCATACTGTAATGTCAGACGTGAAATTTAACACTATTCTAATCATAAAAAGAAATAATTATCCGGTCACCCATTTCAAACGGTATGCAAGTTCAAGGATTCATATCATACAGTGAGCACATCAGTTTTCACAAACTATTGACTTGTTGCCTTTTCGGGTTTAAACTTTGAATGTTTATCATTGAATGTAAATAATGACTATCTATCGTTTAACAACTCATCATTGAAGTCCAGTTATTAAAGGAACAGTTCAACAACCAGCTATATAAAACAATTAAAAACTGAACTTCGAGATTGGACCCATGAACATTGAAAGCTCAAAATTCTTTAAATTACTTTTATTGACGATAATATGATATAAACATGCAAATACATTTGTTATAGTCTATACTACCCTACCAGATCCATTTGTAACATAGTGATAATTATCTCCTACCAAAATCCATCTGTAAGGTGGAGATATTCTATCCTTTCCTTTCAGACCCATCTGTGTAAATCAATCGAAAGTTGTATAATGATATCTACGATATATACGATACCGTACCTATGACGAGACACTTTTAATTGTCATAAATCAACACTTTACTAAAAATATTGCACGCGATCTTGTTACATTGCACATGCATCTGAAGCATTTAAGATGTTTTTTTCTTACCTTTTGTTCCCTTTAATCGACATTTAGCAGGTGGCCCTGATACATTACCGAATTCAGTTTTATACTTTTTTTATTATTAAATTCGACAAAAATGATGAATGAGCTCTTCTATAGTTTTGTTGAAATACATTTGAAAATAAAAGGAGTAAATTATTCTAATCCCAAACAGAACTAACTATTTTGGCGATTATAGGAAGTTCACATGGTTTCAGAGTCACATATTTATGAAAACTTTAAGTACAGTCAAATTGGCTTTCAATGATAGGTTAGCTTAAGGGCACTCTAAATCGATGAAAGTCATTAAGCTGGTCTTATCCTTAAGTAAGTTGTTTTTATAATAACTACAGCTCTCGATTTACAAATACGAGAGATATATATTATACTCATAAATTTAAAGTATAAATATACGCAAATATGATGAATTAAAGACGTCGACATAAAAGTATGGATTACAACTGGTATTTTCTTCGTGAAATAAATGTTTCTAAATCGCTTTCAGACATACAACTTGAAAAGACAGTAATTTATGGATTATAATTTTTCTAACTGTTTGATAGATTAACGATGTCTAGTTATATGAGGTTAACAAGGTCAACACTTAGGTTGATTTGTAATAATCATCGTTATCTGGCTAATTTCTTTGTTCACTGAGACTTGTAAGACAACGCACGCGACTTCTTGTTTGACATTTTATATGGTGTTTAACACTATATTTTTTGTACAAAAAGTCTTTGACCTCTAATTACAGATATAAACTTGTTGCTTGATAATAATTTGAAATATTAAACAATATTAACCCTGGCTATAGGACATCACATTGTGTAACCTATATATTAACCCTGGCTATAGGTCATCACATCGTGTAACCTATATACTCATGAAGTTCAAGTTGTTGATTGTTGGACTTTCTAAGACTGTTGTAACAGCAAGAAAAGCTATACTTGTCGCAAGTATGGGAAATCGTATTAAGAGCACTGTATGCCATCTAGTGTTTAGTTTGAATGTCATGTTTTATGGACCATTGTATCCAACTCGTTTTTTTTATGGACCATTGTATCCAACTCGTCTTTAATTTTACTGTGATGTTTTATGGAGTAGTGTACTCCTCTTGTGTTTAATTTCAATGTGATTTTTAATGGAAAAGTGTATGCCTTCTCGTGTTTAATTTTAATGTATTGTTTTCGCGAGAAGTGTATACCTTCTCGTGTATATTAAATGTTTTGTTTTATGGAGTAGTGTATGCCTTCTCGTGTTTAATTGAAATTTGTCGTTTTATGGAGTAGTCTATGTCGTCTCGTGTTTAATTGTAATGTATTGTTTTATGGAATAGTTCATACAGTCTCGTGTTTAATTGTAATGTATTGTTTTATGGAGTAGCCTATGCCGTCTCGTTTATATTTAATGTTTTGTTTATGGAGTAGTGTATGCCTTCTCGTGTTTAATTGTAATGTATCGTTTTATGGAATAGTCTATGCCGTCTCGTGTTTAATTGTAATTTATTGTTTTATGGAGTAGTGTATGTCTTTTCGTGTTTAATTGTAATGTATTGTTTTATGGTGTAGTCTATGCCGCCTCTTGTTTAGTGTAGTTGTAATGTTTCAGGAGTATTGTATGCCTTCTCGTTTTTAGTTTTAATGTAATGTTCTTTTGAGAAGTGTATGCCCTCTCGTGTTAAGTTTTAATGTAATGTTTATTGGAGTATTGTGCCTTTTAGGGATCAGTTTTGATAGTGTTTATTGGGTATTGTATGTGTATCTTGTGTTTAGTTTGAAATGCAATGTTTAATTGGGTATTATGTGCCTTCTCATGCTTAATTAAGATGTAATGTTTGATGAAGTATTGAATTGGTTCCTGTTCAATTGTTTTGTTCATTGCATTGTCTGTCCTTTTTCGAATTTACTAAGTTTTACACCTCCTTTGATATTTTCATATTTCTCTTAATACTAAGTGTTATCATTTACTAAGGCATACTATACTCTTAAAACATTACATTATAACTAAACACGAGAATGCATACCATACTCCATAAAACATCACTTTAAAATTAAATACTGAATATTAAAGTGAACGACAAAAACTGCGACGAACATAAGATAGCATCCGTTGAGCTTAAACTTTATAATTCTGAAATATTGGTTCTTTTTCATTTTTTGCATGTCAGTGCCTTTTATAGCCGACTATCCGGTATGGGGTTTTCTCATTGTTGAAGGCCGTACGGTTGCCTATAATTGCTTACATCCACTTCGTTTGAACTTTGGATAGTTGTCTCATTGGAAATCATACCACATCTCCTTATTTTTATCTTAAGGTTGTTTTTCAAGGATTAAACTTGAAAATCAGTTGACTAAAACAGATTTTTAAAGAACCTGCAGTTTAAAGAAATGTAATACGCTCAATTGTGCTTAACATTAAGGGCATACTATGCAAATATTCATTGACAAGGAATTTTGAATAGCTCGTAATTAAAATGCATTGCTGTTGTTGGACATCTTTAATTGTATACTTTGATTGTTCAAACCATGTATTATTCATTAGACATACATTAAATACCAAACTAAGTACTTGAATTGGTCCTGCTCACTGATGCAGGTAAGTAAAACACCTTGTACTCAAATAAAGGTAAACCACAGCTTGCTCATTTAGAAAACTAAACACGTATTCAGGAATGAAAATAACTGGTCGTGGAATTTCAATGTTTAAATAGCTTTGAAGCAAGAACCACGAAAAGAAATCTCCTTACTTTTATACCTGTTTGATTTTTAAAGCTTTTTTTGTATATCTATTTGAAATTGGTATGAAAAGAATTAATATGTTTTGCATTCCTTGTTTAAATAATAAAGTCATAAAGAGATAGATCTTCACTCTCTATCGTCATATCTTCCTCAAATATTTGTAAACATTTAACCAATAAATAGGAAATTTAAAACCGATTTATTTATACACTGTTTAGGCATATTTTTACTGCTTAGTTTTTAACATGAATTTTTATTGAAATGGCTTATATGGTTATGAGATTGTATATTTTACCTGAGAAAAAAACTGCACACGTTGAAGTAGGGGTGTTATTTTCTTTGCATATATTTGATATGACAGGTTGTAAGAGCATGTGTGAAAGGTCGTGAAATTAAAAACATATTTAGCTTTTGATTTGGTGTTTGAAATTATAAGGAGAAATTTATCTTGAAAGCTACTGGTATCAAATTATAGATATATTAAAGACCTTAAGACATGCCTCTTCCACTGTACTATAGGTACCTTTGACTGTACTACATTTATCACTGTCAAGGAAAATTACTTTGAAATTTTAAGACCTACATTTTTATGTGCATAATATGTTTGAAATTACATGTAGGGTAAATATCTGTATTGTATGTGCATATTTTTCAAATGATTTAAAACTAAGGTCTAAATTCTGTACTGTCAAAGATGCAAGTGAAACTTTCGGTGCTATGAAAGGCAAATTATGACATCACGGATTCGTACAAAAGCACGGAAATACTAAAAGGTATATATCTTAAAGAAGTGTAAGATTATACCCTTTGTTAGTTAACACAAAGTACATACTTGCTGGTCGGTTTAAAAAAACCGAACTTTTTGTACTTAACAAGGTCTAAGGTTACCGAATCATTATAAATGGAAGGAGAAATCCAGACAGCAGCACTAAAACGAGACAGTCCAAAAAGTTCAATGATTTAGTGATTATTTTTTACGTCAAGTGGAAACTATTTCATGCATATTTAAAACGAGAACAAGCAACCAAATATAACAAAATGGTACTCTCTGAAAAAATATTGGAGTTATAAAAACTATACAACGTTCGCTACGGATCCCTTGGTGGGTTGTTGTACGTATTCTTAAACGTACAATAAGTGATGCATTCTTTTAACTTGTGCATTATAATTATTGTCCCCAATCATATTCAGACATACAGTCAAATATACGAAGCCGGAGTAAAAATCAGAAGCAACATCAAACTATGGCATTTTGAAGGCAACACATATGTGTTAGTTCGAACTCACACAAACACTGATATTATGTATTCCGAAAGGATTCACATGGTCAGTCCGCATGGGGCACCTTGTCTTTCCCTCGTTTGCATACGAACTCTGTGAGTCATATAATTTGGCCGGTTTCATTGGTCTGGAGTATTTGAGTAAAATGATAAAATTTTGGAAAACGGTAGTTATTACCTCGGCTAATACGTTTACCAAATAAAAGTATGCTAAACAGATGATATGAAAACATTTACCCTAAAAATGGAGTAACGGTTACAATGCATCATGTGTAAAACGAGGGAGTATATGGTTACTCAAATTATATGTGTTATTTTAAATGTAGTGTTTTTCTAGTTTATGTGGTTGATTGATATTACTCAAGATGAGCAAGATGTCATATGCAATTTTTTTAACAGTGGTAAAATCTGACTAGCTTGTGAATTTCGAATATATGCGCTTCCACATACCAGTGTAATTTTGAACGGATCCGTAGGTAACGGATTTCGCTCTAAACAAAATTATGTACCCACTGTATATAAAAGGGGCGAATAAATGGAATGTATAAACACAAAATTCGATATATTGTATTTACATTATGCATTCGTATAAAAGTGGTCCTCTTGTAATATTTCATTAAAAAGAAAAAAAAATATATATCGTATAAAACGAGAGGACGGGGGCAAAATATTTCACCTTTCTTATACGTCCTTGTATAACACTCTATTTGACTTTGTTGTGAAGTGATTTTTACCACACGTAGTTCATTATGACTTTACATAGTATCAAATCAAAACAAATACATGTCTTTGAATAGATTCTCTTTTTTCTCAAACTGGTGTTAT